AGCCGATCGATCTTTCGTCAAACGATCGGCTCTCCTTTCCTCGGTCGTCGTGGCCCTCCCGTTGAATTTGCGTCTCTGCGTCCCCAAGATGGCCGAACGCTCGAGCCACTTGGATCGAGCCGACGCCGAGCATCCGGCGAAACTATTAAACTACACCGAATTACTTGCCTCGACGGGGTGGCTGCAGGTGTTTCCATAAACAGCTAGGCCTTTGAGAGATTTGGAATTTTTTATTTAAACCATCCCTTACAATCTACATCCCTACAAGTCTAATCCCAAGTATTTTTATTATCTCTAGCAAAGCATTGCAAGTTTTAATTATTAAAGGTACTTGCGAGCCTTCGTCGTCGTGAAAATTCATTCTCTAATAGCCATTACTCTTACTCTAATATCATCGTACATTTGCGACTCGAACTGAAATTCATTATCCTCGCTTAATTGAAAGCTTTAGCGCTGAAGCAAAGCAAATTGTATAACCCCGCTGTTTTTTTTTTTGTATGTTTTTTTTGTATGTTTTTTTGTTTTTTTTTTTTTTATTATCGTTGTCCAACATTTCCCAATGGATAAACGCGTTTGTCGTGACGATTCGCTACGATAACGTTTATTAATAAATTCTCGAAAATATATTATAGCTAATAATGATGGGCGATGAGATTATTATTCTTTAGCTGGCAATTAAGTCTTTCAAAACCAGGCGGTGCAGCATTGATCATTACTTCGCTCTTTAGCATTCGAGAACTAAGAAACGCGGCGTAATAACAGTCTAGGAGAGTGTTTTCTTTTTTTTCTTATTTCTTTTGTTTTTTTTTTTTTTTTTTTTTACGTCGGGGTACATGACCATTAGTTATGGACTATTATGCGCTAAACGACGTATCGGCTGCGCAGCACGTGCTCTCCCATACATCTACATACCGTTATTAAAAGCACATCCCCAACCAATCTCTTCTGCCAACATTCTCGCACTCGGGGAATCGCAAACGATCGAAGTAGGACCTGGAAAGTGCAAAAAAGTCTGCTCACGCGCGACCGTCACCGGCACAAAAAGCCCGTAATGTCCTCCTGGAATATATCTACGGGCCCTGTGACAAATGTTATCGATACATGGCGAGTGACAGCTCGTGCGTCCCCGTTGTTGCGCGCAGCTGCCGGGTCTCGAGGGCCGCTCGAAGTGACTCGCGTCAGGCGCAGACGCCTCTTCGCTCCCTGTTCTCCGCTGCTCGGACATACCCGCGAGTGCCTCATCTTGCCCCCCCCCTCACCATCCGACTCGCTCAACAGACCCTCCGCCTCCACCCCGGCAAAGTGCGCCTTTTGCCAGCTGACGGACGAGCCTGAGTGAGAGCGAGAGCGGGCCGGCCGATAAAGCCGTACGCCTCAAGCTAAATGGATCGGCGATTCCTCCTGCCAGAGGCTCTCTAACCTCCCTTAATGTGACCTACATCGCCTAAGAGCATTTTCTTCCGTCACAACTCGAGCCCTGTGTATTTTCTTCTTTTCGCAAGTCGAGCTTCTCGTCGAGCCACGTTCTATATACACACACACACACACACACACACACACACAAACACACACACACACACACACACATATAGAAACTCTCTTTCCTTGTTAATGATGTGGTTGAGAGCAGAGTACAGTATCGCGCGAGTGAAAAGATGCTTTGGCATTGCAAATACATGTGCCTCTTGCTCCAATTCCCAAATACAAATGATAGATGACGAGAAATGTTTATTGATAAGACGCTCAAGGATCTATTCGACTGCGTTATTCGTAAGATTGATCGTGAAATGCCAGTATATCGTGGGAGGCGAGCTTATAAAACGGGGGTTGCACAACCGTGAAAGAGAAGAATTACCTACCGAATGGGCGTGTCGACGCTTAAGCGGCAATTATGAAACCGAAATTCCAATTGATAACCAATGGCGCGTCTATTTGAATTTTCCGGAATAGACGATGTATAGGTGGATGAGAAAGTTGCCGAATCTGTGGCGGGCATCCCAGTGAAGGGAAAGCAAGCGATACGACCAAAGTGTCGTCATTTTTCGAAAGTGGAAATTGGACTCGGGGGAATTGAAGCGGGCATTGAGTGAACGACGCGAGACAAGGAAACCTAGAGGCCTAGTTTTTCCTCCGTACAGACGTTCGAACGACTAGGGATTAAAAGGGTTACCGCGCAATTATGTGGCCCCGGACCGTATCCACAGTCACTTTGGAAGGGCATAGAGTGAAGCAGCGACACCGCAGTCGGGCGAATCCGATCTCGCGGTTATATTAATAGCTGGGCTTTCTCTCTTGCATTGATAGACCCCGCCCAGCCGAAGCCCAGGGCTGGGACAGCTCATATTTTATTCTCCATTACCTCTCCTGGGACGAACTAAGTGGTTAATAGCCAAAGGAAGTGAAAGAGGGCTGGATAGAAGGAGCGCGCGTGTGTGTCTATGTGCGCGCGTGCGAGAGAGAGAGAGAGAGAGAGAGAGAGAGAGAGAAAGAGAGAGTTTAAAGACCACCTGAGTCCAATCACATTTTTTAACTTGTTGTTCGTCCAGACGAATTCTCTTCTTTCGGCATTGAGGCACATTATATTTCGAAAGATATTATTGCTAATATCAACTATAGGATAGTCGAGTGCATTTCAATAGGCCAAATACGATTAACTAATTAAACCTACATCAATCATTTATTCTATGGATACGGTAATCGAATGCAAAAATATATTACTAAAATATTTAATAACAGTTTAATTTACGGTACGAATAATAAAATAATAATAACAATGAAAATAATAATAATTATTATCATAATAATAATATTGTAATATCTTATATGTAATCCATTTTATGTAATCCAATATTTTGTCTTTTGATTAAAGGGCTGATTCGGTTACTTGGAATCCTCATAAACTGATGGGTGCTCTATTGCAGTGCTCTTCCATTCATTTTAAAGAAGATGTAAGTTACAATTGCAATATTATCTGAATATATTAATTAGTTGTCAAACTTGTTTCACAATACCTCTCCTCAACAATCAAAAGTAAAAACAAATATACGCATATGCGCATCGTTTGGGATTTTAATTTTTAATCAAACTCGATGATATATCACAAATAATTGTGATATAGTCCAGTTAATTTACCGACTTTGGTCATAAAAATGTCATGGACTATTTCAAATTTGAAAAAAAAAATAAGACAGAACATAATTACTATCTTATATTCGTCATTGAAAATTAAAAAACAAACTTTTAAAAATGTAAAAAGAAACATATTTAAATACCTTAAGATTAAGAATTGATAATAGAATATTTTAAAAGAGTATTTATAAACAGCACACGACAAATGTAAAATACTTTACGTATCTTATTGATAAATTATCTTTTTTATTTTGTATATCTTTGTATAAAAAAAGAATTTATTGTTAATTATACATAAATTCTTTCGTGAATTATTTTTATTTTTTAATTTTATATATAAGACGAACGATGCAGACTTTTCATTAAATAAATAGGGCTTTATCAATTAAAATGCAAAACTATTAATAATCGGCTGAAAATGAGAAAAAAAGGTCAATTGGCCCACATTTTTCCTTTTCGAAATTTCAAGCACCCTAAAGCAAACGATTATAAAAGAAGGCATGAAATACAAAATATACGAGAGGGGGAGAAAAAGAAACTGTCTTTCCTTCGGAAGCTGACGCGAAGAGACGAGTTCACCCTGCATTCCAACGGACATTGTAGTAAAAGCGAATGAGGGGGAGAGAGAGAGAGAGAGAGAGAGAGAGAGAGAGAGAGAGAGAGATGGACGAATATGCGTGAGCCTCTTCGAAGGAATTTAATTAAAGTAAGAGATAACATATGTTGCTGCGCTGCCAATGCTACGAAGCTTGTGCTTGTACGTAGGTGAGGAAGACGGAGAAAGTGAAGGGTGCAAGATCGCCCCTGCGTTTTCATATAAGCGTACCTAGTTTAGTTATTGCTAACTTTGTATCGAATCTCTGTCTGTCTGTTCGTCTGTCTCTCTCTCTCTCTCTCTCTCTCTCTCTCTCTTTCTCTCCGGCACAACTCACCCCTAGTGAGGATATTAAAATTCCGTGCACCGGCTGCTACGATGTCCGGATTACTCGTCCAATTGTTTTTCTGCACGCGGTAGTTTACGCGCATCGAGGGTCGACTCTCTACCATACATGCACGTGTTTATTGGCATAAATTTTTGTGCCGAACTGCGGCTGTTTGCTACGATTCCTCGTGAAAATTATTTTTTGTTCGCATCATGCTCTATTGTGGAAAGCCATTTTCCGACGGATCGCGGAAAGCTTGATATGACAGTGGTAATTAATTCTGATGCAAGTATTTGAGAAATGTAGTGCAGATCTTAAATAAATTATCTTGTCATTGACTCGTGAATGTATATATTTACATTGGCCTCTCCCTTAAACGTAAACTATGTATAAATAAATACACATTTATTCGATTACGAAGTAAAATTGATGTTTTATATTGGAAGTGTAGCATGCGGTATGTAGTTGATAATGAGTTATTTAATGCAATTTTTACCTTAAACTATTACATTAGTTTGTAGTGGATAATTAATTGCTGCAATATTGTTGAAAATTTTTATTTTTATTTACATTAAAGTAACTATCAGGATATTTTTTATATTATTTTACGTTGAATATGATTGAATGTTCGTTTTTAAAAAAAAAAAACGAATAAATAAATAGAAAATAAAAGAAAATGAAGTATATTTCTTTCTTGTAGAAGTTGCTATAATAGAAATACTTGTATATTTTGAAATATTCAAAATATTTCGCTGAATTAAAACAAATTAAAGCTTACTATACAAATATTCAAGTAATTTTAATGAGTAATTTAAAGTTTGTCTCTTCTCTCACGAAGGATAAAAGTTACAAAATTAGAAGTTATTCGGTAATGCTTGTAAAGTAGGATTATTTGAGAAAACCATACTGATATAATGAATAGTTTCGTGATGTTAAAATGAAAAGAAATTAATAGACGATAGAAATTGTAATTACATATACAGTACTTTAAGTTAATTGTATCGCATGCTCGTTACATTCAAACAATATACATTTTGAGTTTATTGTCAAAACTAAGAAGAAACCATTAATGCGCGTTAAATCCCCGATAACTAAACTATCTTCGAAATGCAATTTTCAAGTGTCAATAACAATGAATATCCAAAGGATAAAGCATTATGAAAGGACGGGAACGTACAGGATGGTAGTTTAAAGTTGTCAGGAGTCGAAGCGCCATTTTGGAAGCTCAACATCAAACTTGAATTCCACTTGGTGCGCATGTGTTAACTCCGTTTATTGACCGCGACCGCTCTCGCAAACTTTCGAATTGAAGAATATTTTCGATAAAAAAATCTATTAAAGTACAAATTTATATAATGGAATTTTTCAATCGCTACCTCAATGTGCTTGTGAATTCGTCTTCCATTGACGTTCTCTCGTTTTATAATTCCAAGCCAATTTGAAATTAAAGTTTCTACATATTATTGGCTCAACGAATGCGGAATATTTTAAATACCTTCGATCGTCAGCATTAGCTTTTCCGACGATTCTCAAGCTTATTTCAGCGCTAATATAACAACTAATTTTTTATCGACCCGGTTAACTCAAGCTTATTCGTTTACAAATAAATAAATGTATGCGTTTGTTGTATGTTTGTGCGCGCATATCTCGAATATCTGCATGCGTGTATGTATACATTTGGACTTCAGGGCCTTCTAATTAGCTGCAATCAAATGTCGGCTGAGTACCTGTTCATGACGGACAAACTTTACGATGTGAAATACGACACGGGTGATAAGGTAATCCAATGTGGCAGACATAATGACATTTTCAAACTCTGGCTACAATGGCGTGCTAAGGTATAGTCTGACAAAAGTAATTCTGCCATACCAACCTTTTAACTATCAAATAGAATATAAATTTAACCGCTATGAAATAGCAAGCTTTTCATTCCTTTTACAATTAATTATAATTATATGTATCTAATAGAATGTTTATAATTAAGTGTAAATTTCAATTTCATTTTGCATTTCTGACGAAAAGAAATAACATGTAAGCGCATTACTCTGTGCAGCATATTATTTTCCAACGAGCTTACGTACTATTTTCACATGCTATATTGCGATACATTAATTGTTGCAACGAGACATGCGTACCTAACGAAATCATCATACTCCTCCCGAAAGTGCGGCAATGATATTTATCCTCGTTACGACAGGGCTCGGAAGGCTTCGAGAAGCACATGGATCGACTAATGGAACTAACAGAATATATGGTCCGTCGAATTAAGCAAATGCCAGACAAGTACTATCTAATACTCGAGCCGGAGCTCGTCAACTGCTGCTTCTGGTACTTACCGACACGACTACGAAACTGTCCCCACACACCTGAGAGAGAAAAGATGCTAGGACAGGTACTGTCTCCCTTTACACACTTACACACACTTACACTCACTTGCCTCGTTGAAAACCAATGGAATGGACTCGCGAATAATCTATCCGTCATCCACTCGTCTCGAATCATCATTGAATAATCATTGGTTCATCCAAGATGCTTTTCATAAGAACGATGCTCGGAATAGAAATTCTGACAGATTTTTATGTGAAATTTACCGCGTTTATTATTATTGTGTGGCATGTATCATAATACACATTGTAATAACCTTAACGACAAAATATTTCACAAAGCTTGATATTCCCAAACAAATGCGTGACTTAGAAATAAAAGTAGACTTAGAAATATTGATGAAAATTAATGAATTATAGGAATGGCGATAAATTTCTTTTGATTTTAGATCTGCCCGATCTTGAAAGGCAGGATGATGGAGGTTGGCACTCTTATGGTAGGATATCAACCAGATGATCGAAGACCCAATTTCTTTAGAAATATTATATCGAGCGCCTCGGTCACGGAGGCCGACGTTGACTTTTTATTAGCAGAAATGGATCGCTTAGGTCACGATCTATAAATCCTGTAACTAATACTTTGTTGCATCAATTACGGGTGACTCAAGCTACACCCTGACCTTCTACCTTTGGCCTCTTTTTGTTTTTAAGCTTGTCGACGTCGCGATAATACTAATTATGTTTTAATTTCCTTATTTCATCTATTTTCGTATTATTTACTTTATTTAAATGATGAATTTTAAGCTCAAATTGGTAAAATATTTTAAATTTCAATTCAAATGGCTTCACATCAGTTTAAATCGCAAATTGAAATTTATGTACGTGCATTTTTGTCAATTTGAATTGCAACAATTGATGAATCTCATGTTTTTCAAGTTGACATTTGATTTTAAAAAATTTTCAAATTTTCACGTGGTAATAATATGTACAAAGTTACTTAGAAAAAAAATTAGCAACCATGAATATAACTTACAATACGTATAGAAAATCTATATAAATAATGCAACTGAATCTCTTTGATTAGGATAATTTATAAAAGCTGAACAAATTAGTTGAACAATTTTGTAAATTAACTTTTGCAGTATTACTATCAAATGTCAGTATTTATAGAGAAGTTTTTTTTATTTCTTTTAGATACTAGGAATATCTTAAAAAGTTAGTTATTATATATACACGCACACGCACACACACACACACATGTGTGTGTGTGTGTGTGTGTGTGTGTATATATATAAATTTTATAGTATCAGAATATGGTATACAAATTGGTATTATATGTAAATTGTAAAAGTTTTAAATTATCTAAGACTAATTTTCAAATCCTTCTAAATTCAAGAATTAAAGAAAGTAAAAAGTAGAGAAAGAATAAGAATTGCATTGCAGTAGGAAAAACATAGCAATCAATAATGTTAAAATGACGTTTCTGTAACAACGTATTAAATCTGGCCATAATGATAATTAATAATAGTATTAATAATGATGATGATAGTTAAAATAATAATGATAATAATAATAATAATAATAATAATAATAATAATAATAATAATAATAATAATAATAATAATAGTAATAATAATAATGTGACTTTGTTATAGCTGTAAGATTTGTTAAATATAAGGAAAAATTGACAATATATCCCATAGTGTAATGATGCTGTACCAGATTTGCTCATGATTCAGCAAGTTTTGGTTTTTAAAACATTATGCGAGGAATGTGCAATAAAAGAAATTGCTTGCTAAACACTGTTTTACGTTATAATAATTTACAATGTAGGCGATTATATTTTATTCGTTATGATATTTATGAGATATATGAAAATGCTATTAATGTTGAATCGAAAAAATTTATATGTATATGTATATATGTGTGTGTGTATATATATATATATATATATATATATGTTTCTCATAAATTATATTTTTAATCTTAAAACTAATGATTTAATCAAATAATACTTAGCGTAATAGAGATACAATACAACTGAGAATACGGACATATGAATAAAATCTTTCTTGTAACCAAAACTTGTTAAAAGGCTGAAACCACTTGTTCGAAGTGCAATATTTTCTGTAAGTGTTCTACATAAATACGCGTTGTTATACAAGTACCAACGAATCGCCAATAAGACAAAATATTTAATAAAAATCGAATTAATGTAATATAAAATTCAATAATTTTGTTGAGAAACATTATTTTTAGGACAAATATTTTACAATTAATTGAAATTCATTGATTCGTTCACTAACTTAAGAGATACTTCGTAAATTATTTCTTTGTGTATTTTAGTCCATATCTACACAAATTAATATATAATGTGCAAAATACTAAAGAATGAAAAAAAGGAGAAAAAAAGAACTTAACGAGAGAATTACTTGGTTTTACTGTTGATTGACTTTATACGAGTAGAAAATCTATATTATATCATTACCAACAGAAATAATATGCAAATGTCTAATTGAATATGCCTATGTACGTATGTGTGTACGTATGTGTGTACGTATGTGTGTACGTATGTATGTACGTATGTGTGTGTGTGTATGAATGTCTGTGTATGCATGTATATACGTATGTGTGCGCGTATATATTTATGTATATTTTTATTTTAGAATTCAAATTCGAAAGAAAACAAACACAAAGCCATGAAAGTATACGCTTTTTCAAAAATATTTAACAGAGCCTTGGCCTGTAATCGTGCATCTACAAAATGTGAAAACTTTCTATTGATCTACAATGTTTTCTATAAACAGCGTCTTGTTGTTTATATATCAATATAACATGTTGATGCACCGAAAATAGTCACTTTTTATTCGCGACTTATTAGTTTAGTCATATCACATGTAATAATGGGATTCGTGAATGAGCCGAGCCTTTAACTGAAAATTACTTACTTACGCAATGAAATAAGAAGAAAGCACCTTTTCGCATTCGTATGACGTAGTCCTGAGATTATAGAAGATAGCTAAAGTAAGCAATAAGCAATCGTAAGTAGCGCTGTGCCGGATCACTCTCGATTAAGAAAAAGAAATTTTTAAATTTTCGCTTAACACAAGCCCGTATTGTTTACAAAATAATTTCTGATAAATCAAAAAATTTATCAAATCTTATTTGCAATTGTATTTTATTTTATACGAAAATTCCTTACGTTATTTCAGATATTTTATTATATAATATCAATTTTTTGAATATCCGACATGTAATGTAAATTTGAACGATATTGAAAAATGAGTGAAAATTTACTTCATCCATACATTAAAGTATAGAGCGCGCAAATAGAAAGCAATTAGTATAATTTTAGATATACGAATATATAATAACAGTTTAAATAAATAACAAAGGATTAATGTATTTGCCCTAGCTGAATTTATTTTAAAATATGAACAATTGAAGGAAGAACTGTAAAATTTCGACAGGAAGTAATTGTAATTTCACAATACTATCGTTACTTGAATTCTAATAGTCTGGATAATTTTATGATTAACAAATGCAACTATCCTTATAAAAAATGTACCTAACGAAAAAACTAATGAATGCTTATGTAATATAAATAATACATGCACAAACGAGTTAATTATATTTCACAATAATTAAAAATATTATCGTGCTTAAACTTTTCGTTACGTATCGCAACATAACTCAAGTACTTAAGTGCATACTACTTATCTAAATGTAATAATAATTTAAATTTTCATTACATTCTTAAATTCACAAGGTCTACTCAATGAGACAGATAATTAATTAACATTTTTTGCCTATTCCCTTGTAATATAAGAGTCAGTTAACTCATTTGTCACGTGCATTATGCTTATGCCGTTAAGGTTGCCTTAGGCAGTTTTTAAGAGAGCAAATAAGAATGCCAGTCCAGTAACAGATAATAAATGATATAATAAAAAAGGAAGTCGATAAGAAATACGAAAATCATTGTATAAAAAAAAAAAAAAAGTAGGAGTAAAGACGTGCAAGTGCACATTCAGCGTTGGCCCAAAAATGTATTTTTCAATGATATATCATCGATAATCCATTCGAACTGTACTATTATAAGAATATAGTGTTGACTGTTAGTAATAATATTAGAAACGAGTAGTAGAAACACATACCCATACACATACTTAAAGCTTATACAAAGAATCTATGAACTTTATTATAAAGCTTAGGTTGCGCCAAATATATGATATTTAATACCTGAAGTATTACATGAGTTTTGGTTGGGAAAAAAAAAAAATACAAAAAAGCAGGCAAGTCAATCACTGTATAAATCTGTGACATCAGAAAGAAAAGAATAATGATATTTTTATTGGAAATATATAATTTTTCAAAGTGAATTACTTTCGATAGGTATTCCGAGGTTAAAAATTTCATAATTGTTATATTTGTGATTCCGCAGGCGTCGAATCGCTTACATATTCTCTTCCAATGTGCTTTAATGAAACATATTTGAGCCAAATTCTTTATCAAAAATATGCACTTTAATTAACGGAAAGGATTTTTTTTTTTTTTTTTTTTTTTTTTTTTTTTTTTTTTTTTAATATAAAGACATAAAATTTTTTAATTAATTTAATTATTGCAATCTCCAGCGGTATTTAATTATTCATGTAAGCGAATAATTTAAGAGAGAATAAACGGTATATCCTTTACCATAATTAATATTCGAATTATATTTAATTTAATGCTTCGTTTTAATATTTAACTGAAAAATAAAAGAATATAATGATAATCTGTGATAAAAATGCGTTTATAACTTATTCGGTTAACTTATCATATGATTTGTGAATTTTTATATTCCAAATGCTCTCTGCGTAATTCATTACTATACATATTCATTGATTAAATAATATAGTGCTTTTCAATTATTGCTTATTTATTATTTTATTGCTTAAGTTGTTAATTATGACTAAAGAGAACGGCACAAATATGACTTTAATAAAAATAAAAATAAAAATAAAAATAAAAATAAAAAAAATAAAAAAAAAAAAATTATATGACACCGATTGATTCACCTATCATCGGTGTTAATTGTTGTTAATTATGCGTATATACATATACAAAATGTAAAAAAGAAATTAAGCTTAAGAGAATGAAAAATAGCAACAAAATTCAAAGTCTTCCAAAATGACTAATGCACACCTATAGGTAAAATTAAGTAACTTACAATCGATTGTTTGATTAAATAAAAAAAACAAAAACCGATTTAATAAAAAATAGAAAATGTAAAAATGACTAAATATAAAAAGTAAGAAAAAAAAAGAAAAAAATTGGCTGAAAATTTGTCTTATGTGGAAAAAACTTGTACAATGTTACGTTTTAGCAAATAAGTATTGTGTTTAACAGCATCACTCGAAGAAATCTTACTTATTCCTAATTACCTTCTGTATATCAATGTCTAATAAAATAAACTGCTGTTATCTGATATTTTCCATATTCTCTCATTTCCTCTGTAATTTATTTGAAGGATAAAGATCAATGCCACCATATCTGGTTAATCATTGTATTCCATATCCTGATAATTGATCTAAATCCCTTTCGAACTCAGCGTCCCGTACCAACGATAACCGCATACTTGGTTGCCTAAACTCAGTAATATTTTTATCGAAAGTGATTTTTCCTTGCCAGACTAATTGTATTATATTCAATTGTTGTCCGCTTTACTATCTGCGATCAATGTTACCAGTGAATGCAAATGCAGCAAAATCGTGTATACGAGCATTTTTTTTCTTTTTTCTTTCTACTAAAATAAGTAACCTTACAATAAAAAGATGATATGACCATTCCAAGTACAAGTAAAAGTTTATGCTGATGGAAAGTTTTAAAAATGTCGCATCGGTTATAGGGAGTAACAGAATCCAAATTTTATTATAAGCCGTTGAAAGTACAATGTATGGTTCTTGAGTAATTATTAAAAAATTATTATAAGAACGTACAAAGAAACTGATAAGTATTAATAAATATAATAATAATGTGATTAACATTTATTCGTCCATTATGTTTTGTATTGTTAGTATTAATATAAAAATACGTACCGCGATTGGCAAATTTACGTATAGAAATCTAATACATAACAATGGGATAAATATATGATAATTATGATTAAAGTATTATGAATTGAATATACATGTATCTGCACTTTTGAAGGAGTTTATTCATTATTTTTAAATATAGTCTTAAATTTAATGGACGAAGCAATATAATAAAAATAAAAAGTATATTAAATTATAAGAGTAAGTAAAATTTTGTAGTCTAGACTCTACGACACTCTGCATTTTTCCGTACACTTAAAGCATATTTTCTAAAAACAAATTAAACATATTTCTCTTTATTACGAATATATTCATAATTTATAAAAGACTTAATCATTTTTTTTTTTAAATAATGTAATTCTTATTTTATACTTGTGAATTTGTCTGTGCCTCGTGATATATAATTGTAGGTTTAAGTAAAACTTGTGCTTGATTGCACAAGCTTACTTTTCATTTGATTAAATTTCACTTAATATTACGACACTAATAATCTCCATTATGTTAATCTCATGAAATTATTGGATCTGTGCTGAAATGAAAAAACTGTGCTGTATACCCATAATGCAAAATCAGATTCTTATATAAAGTTTCGCATATTCTTGTTTTTTATACACATTGAAAGACCCGTTTTGAAAATTTAGCGTATACGTAAGTACGTGAATAAATTATCCCACTTGGCGACCTCCAGCCAAATGTCCCCGTCCGATAATCAGCGAATACATCGACTAAGCGAGTCTTCGGAATCATTCGTCCCGGCTTTACAATCGAACGCTTATTCCTCGCGAATTTCTGATAATGAAGTCTTTCGTCGAGTACTCCGATAACTCTGATTTTCCAATACAGAATTTACCTTATGGAATCTTCACTACACCAGAGAACGTGAGTAATTTGTCTGTTTGTTTTTTTGTGTTTTTCTTTTTTTTTTTTTTTTTTTTTTGTTCATTTATCACATCTCCATTGCCTCCTCATATTTAATTCACAATGCATTCCATATATTATTAATTCATTTATAAAAAATTCCTAACCTAGAAGTTTATTTATTATATAAAGCATGCCGTTTAATTTATCACTTAACTGCTCGAAAGTTTGAAAACTCATTCCTTAATTTCCAATTGATAGAAAGAAAGAAAAAAAAAACATAAATATGACTTTTCTACGTTTCTCTACTGAATTTTCCTTCCATAAGCGCCATCTAATGTCCTTAGCGATAATTATCGTTTATTAACATGCCTGACATAGCAGAAATCTGCCTCGGATCGATTAGCATTTATCGACTGAGCGTGATTATCGGCCGCTGCAATCTTTCGGTTCCGTAACGACTGCGGTATAAAAATTAATTGCCCAATAAGTATTTAAAAAATTCAACATGCATATTAAAATGACGTGAATTAAATTTGTAGCTTAAGAAGAGAATAGGTGTTGCTATTGGAAATGAAATTCTCGACTTATCAGCAATAGCTCATCTTTTCACTGGACCACTACTGAACAGTAAGCAAGATGTATTTTGCAAAGAGTACCTGAATGATTTTATGTCCCTTGGCAGACCGTCGTGGATCGAAGCCAGGCAAACTTTACAAAGCTTACTCTCCACGGACAATCAAACGCTTCAACAAACCGATTTAAGATCCAAGTAAATATAATTATTACAGATTAGTGTGGGCACTACTCGTGGAATTCTCTGTTTACTCATTGTTCATGAAATGCTATCGATCATTCGATGCGATATTCAGAGATGAAGATTTTACTTTCTTTAAACTGCTCACGTTGCATCAATTGATTTCTAATAAAACGCCATAAATTAAAAACTACCGTCTAATTGTTCGGGGAATTTTATGTGTTATTTCTAATTGAAAGCCAATTTCAATTTTCATTTTAACAAGAAGACTAAACTTAACCAAGCTAATGCATTATTCTATTTTTTATGTTTTATATATCGTAATTGATTAATAATTTGTAGAGTATTGGTGCCACAAGTGAAGGCAACGATGCACCTACCAGCTCGAATTGGGGATTACACAGACTTCTATTCCTCCATTCACCACGCAACGAATATCGGAATCATGTTCCGTAACAAAGAAAACGCACTCATGCCTAATTGGTAAATAAAATAGTTATTTAATTTAATTTAATAATTTCACTTGCGTCATCGAATAGCCACCAAATATAAAATGCGGAAGAATAATGGGCAAAAAAGGCGCGAGGGAATCGACTGGTTACGACTGGTTACGACTGGTTACGAAGCCCCAGATTCCATTATATAAGATTCGTTTAAAGTGGAAGTATTCAGATATTGATTGAGCTCTCGAGCTTTCGAACGTAAGACCTCATTATCGCCAGATTCTCCAGATTACCGAGCATTTTGTCCTTTAGGAAATATCTGCCAGTGGGTTATCACGGGAGAGCGAGTTCGATCGTGATATCGGGCACACCTATACGCCGAGCTCGCGGCCAAACACTTCCGGTCGAGGAAGCGCCGCCGATCTACGGCCCTTCAAGGCTAATGGACTTTGAGCTCGAGGTCGCCTTCTTCGTAGGTGGGCCACCGACGAAACTGGGCGACACGGTGGTCGCGTCGCGGGCCGAGGAGCACATTTTCGGACTGGTCACTATGAACGACTGGAGCGGTAAGCTCTGGCTAACGGACATTTTTCCCGTTAAAGATTACTTTAATGATTGCTTAATTGGGGAAAGGCTCACATTTTGCTGGACACTTTAATATTATCTGCGTGGTACTGAACTTTCACCATTTTCTCAATCTACATGCACGAAAGAACATTTGGACGACAGCTTTTCCATATTTTTTTTCGACCAACAGCCGCTACGATTATACAAAGATATTTCAATAATGTTCTGGCATTCTGGCAGCTCGCCAATCATATTTAACCTTTTTTTTTTTTTAATAATTTTAAATTATTATTAAGCTATTTTACCAATTGAGTTCTTTAGCAATTAGATAGAGTGGTTTAACAACGGGATGATAAATTCTTATTTTATGGTGATAAATGGCAATAGTGATATTTGAAAATTTTTATTTAAATCGCGTGCCAACGCAGTCACCAGATTTTCATAATTTTAATGATTTTAATTCGCAAATTTTAGCCCGTGATATTCAAAAATGGGAATACGTTCCATTAGGGCCGTTTGGAGCAAAAAATTTAGGCACGACCATAAGTCCTTGGATAATTACTTTGGAAGCATTGGAAGCTTTTAAAGTTCCAAGTATGCCGCAAGATCCAATACCATTTCCATATCTTCGATACGATAATCCTTATACTTTTGACATCGAATTAGAAGTTGATCTGAAAAGTAAGTGCTTCATTAATTTTTAAAAAGGTAGCCTGAAAGTAGAGAGAACGAAGCTTCAACTATATAATTAATTCGAATTAATTGAAAAGTTCATAAAATTCTTTGAAATTCCGTTGAAAAATTGTTATTTATTATTTATAATACTACAAATTAAAACGGGGCTGTGTTATTTTTTACTTTAAATTTTTTAACATAGATTCAAAAAAAAAAAAAAAAAAAAAAAAAAAAAAAAAAAAAAAAAAACTATATTTCCTAATGTATAAAGAGCAGAACAATTACCTCGTAATTTCCCTTCAATGTCCATTCTCTTAGCCGCAAATGGTGTCGTAACAACAATCACTCGAAGTAATTACAAATACTTGTATTGGAGCGCACAGCAGCAATTAGCTCATCACACTGTCACTGGTTGCAACATTAATCCTGGCGATCTGATGGCATCTGGCACAATTAGCGGCGAAGTTAATAAAATTAATTATAACGATAAACATAATTCGTCCTGCTGCTTTATGAGAAATTATAAATTCGATGTTAATTTTAGATGGCTGATTCATACGGTTCGATGCTTGAGCTTAGCTGGAAAGGTACGAAACCAATTCAATTAAAAGACGGAAGTGCCAGAAAATTTTTACAAGACGGAGATGAAATTATTATTAAGGGTAAAATAAACAGCCCCGCTAATAATGTAACGAAATGTTTATCTTTTTAATAAAATTCTCACTTGTTCAAGGTTACTGCAGTGGCAATGGTTATAGAATTGGTTTTGGCAGATGTTCTGGAAAATTATTACCTGCTCACACAGTATAATTTTGCCATACGTAATATTATAATATATGCATATGCATATTAATTAAAATGACTATATATTAATAATAAAATTATTAATTTAATTCACCCGTCCCTTCTAATTCGTAGTAAATTCATAAATAACAATAATCGAATGAATATATAAATATATGAAAATTGCATTGTTCCGTCAACGGATTCCAATTAATTATTACGCAAGGTCGTAATTCTTACACTTTTACGATTTTTCCATTTAAATTAGAAAAGTGGCTGCTATTAGACGTCAAAAATATTGATCTTGCAACCAAGCTCTGACTATAGGCAGGTGTGCGATCAATAAAGTGTACAGTGTTTCGAGTACTTCGTTAGCGATCATGACGAATTCCTTATTGCGGTAAATACGTAATATTTTCATTAATTTCATCCTTTCGAGCTATTATTCGTTATACATTCCGACAAGCCACCCAGTCATTTGTCACCAAATTTTCAATTACTCGCCCTGTGTCATAACTTACGGGTATTTCTAGTTTTTAATGTGCAAATCCAGCCACCGCCTTACTCCTAATATCACTATGTCTAACCTACATTTGTCACACCTTCGTCGCAAAGTAGCTAACATTCAAAATAATTCTTTTTCAATCTTAAGTGTATCCGTCTTTAGCGCATTCGCTATTACGCGCTGAAGGAGAAATTATCTCAAATTATTCGTTCGAATAATTGCTCCTATAAATTGTCCTATGAATTATTATCGAGTAAATTAATGAATGGCAGGCTCGTAAGTGCATACTTTTAATTCAACAGAATCTTATCATATCGTTAAAGAAGTCAAACTATGTCATAGAAGTTTACAAGCACTGGAGTCATTCGGTAGTCATCCGACCGCACGCTGGGAAGTTCCCTTGAGCGACGGTATCCACGTCATTGAATTTGATCATGGCACAGCCACGGGCAGACGAGTCGTTAAAATCGACGGCAAATTATTCGTCAATCGGGAATGGATGTTCCGGTTGGTTGGAGACGAAGTCATCAAATTCAAGGATGTGAAGTTCGTTATAAGGGTTGATCCTATTCCCGGTTAGTTTAATTATGTAATTTTAATAGGCATTATTCCTTAGGTGATGTTAAATAGCTTCATTAATGCCTTCTAGTGCTTAAACGTAATATATTTAAATTTTTCATATATGTATATATATATAGATTATTATTGATATTTGTATATATAAGATTATGAAATTTTGAAAGAAACTTTGTAGAAAAAAAAAAAAATTTTCTATAAATTATATTTTTAATTTACGTGAATGTAAAAACATTAAAAGCTCGGACTTATCAATTTAAAGGAAAAAATCGAACAAAATAGGATTTTTTACTTAATACGTACAATACTCGTTATGTGATTGTAAAAGACATGAATTACTTTACAATATTGATTGCTACAACTAAAAAACGAAAAATATTAATACATTTATTAGTTAGTAATTTTTTCAACTTGAAATATTACATTAGTACTACAATTTACATATTATCATTTAATTAATCATTTTCAAATATAAAATCAATAAACGAAGATTCATAAGGTTTTAACACTTCTATTAAAAAAATATAAATTTCATTTATATAATACATTTCAGGATTGAGATACTCGTACTCACTATGGGTTGATGGTAAAAGTTTTAAAAGCTTTATTCAGGCACAATCAAAAGTACTTGAAACTTGGTCAACGCAAATTGCTCAGAATGAATATAGAATTATATTGGGTATGTATTTATGTATTTAACGAGTAAAATAATATAATTGTATCCTGTTTAGATCAGAGATAACATTTTACAGATAAAAATACACAAAATGTCTGGATTAATGGAGAGCAAACAGAATCGGAGGTGCTTATATCTAATCTATGTTCTTTCTGGAATATTAAACTTGCAATTTATGTGAAGTTATGCCTATATTCTAAATATAATTTAATTTTTAGTGTAACTTCATAGATGATGGAGCTGAAATACAATTTACTATCGCCGATTTGCCAGCAGTTATTACATTATGCAGTTCCGGGAAGAAAAATATTGGTTTGATATATACTTTGCATGTAAATGATGTAAAAATAACACAACAAAATTTGGAATCTAATGTAGCAAATGAGTAGTACAATAATTAATTTTATCTTACAAGCGAAATTTACTGTTATTCCATCATGTTTAAAAGATTGCAATTTATCACGGAATATATTTTTCTGTACGGGAATAAACTAAATACATTGCACAAATCATTATATACGATTTTTATAATTTATTATTTATTTATTTATTTATTTATTTTAACTAGGATGGGCATGCGGGAATGTATGCCAATTTTTACATGCCTACGTATGTATCGTTGTATAATATATGCATACATACAAACACGCGTGTGTGTATACACACACGCACGCGCGCACATATATATATATATATATATGTATGTATGACTATATTATATCAGCTTACTTCCTATACTTAATAAACTCATAAAATAACCTAAAATCGTCAATTTTCGTCATTACAAAATGCCATTGCAAATTCATTAGAAATTATTTTTAAATTAACATGTAAACAGATTCCATTATATATCAAGCTTTTGAGATTTTGAATTGCACAATTATGATATCAGAAAAAACTAATGCTATTAGTCGTTTAATAAGAACATTTACCTCTACGAAAAATGCAGCCAATTTTGAAGGTAAAAAGTATTATATTAATCTGACTTAACGTTGAATGAGAATGAAAATTTGACGAATTTATTGTAGAATTAAGCGATGAAGAGATAAAACTGATTTTGGAAATCGCAACGCGTGTAAATAGAACATTAACCTATGAGAATGAAGTATTCGAGCATTACTTACAGCGCAAAAATCCTCAGTGTTTGAATAGTATGTAAAATATGATCTTTTTTTGCCTATTTATGCCTATTTGCTATATAGGCTTTTCCATCCAGTCAAATCCAGTCTTGTGCAAACTTTATGCTAATAACGGTACAGGGGTTCTTTTCAATAAGTAATGAATTTTTTCTATTTATTTAAATTACATATTATTATTAATTAAAAATACTTTTCCGCAAAGAGATAAAATTACAAACAATTACATATAATTATCATGTATAGAACATATAAAAAATATGCTTATATATATATATATATATATATATATATACATATATACATATATAGATGTTATTTAAATATTTTATTTATATATTTTTTCGAATAAATTTGAAAATATCTTTATTCTATCGATCTTCATTTTAATCAATGTACGCTGTAATACTCTTTGGAGTGTTAAAATTCTACGTTCAACTTATTATATATGTATATGCATTATGATAATTATGTAGGAAATATAGTGTAAGCTATTTTAATTACTTCCGAAATATGAAATTTCTTCGGCAAAGAAAAACTTGTTGTATTAGTAAAAAAAAATTGTACGTCGTATAAAATAAATTTATTTCTTTTATAAAATCTATTTAGAAAATAATTTTATGTTAACAGCAGCATATAAGAAAAAAAAATTGCTACATAGAAATACTGCCAATAACCTTGATGCACATATGATTGATTTTTAAAGAAAAATACACTTTCTTTTTCCTGGTTATGAACATTTTTTCTAATATGACTTTGTTAATTTTTTTCCCATTTTTTATTTACATTCCTCGTATTTATCCGGATTATCTTGAAATTCATTTTCTCGTTACGGATTATAGAAAAAACCTATAGCTTCAAAATACTATTTTGTTATTATTCTTTCGGATAAATTCGTATTATATCAATTAGTATTAGAGTAATTTTTTCTAATTCCATTTGTTGTTGTTGTGTTTTTTTTTTTTTTTTTTTTTTTTTTTTTTAATAATGAAAAATCATATTTTATGACAATTACAAATTACATTAAAAATTGTTGAGTATCTATTTGCATGGATATTCGTATAATATTAAAACATATGGGTTTTAAAAAGTCGTATCGCTATTTTTTGCCATTAATGTTCCAATTTATTATAAACTACTCGAAGTCTTATGCTCCACTGCCGTCGATCTATTCGCAATTTACAGTAGCCCACAAACGCAAGCAGCGGGACTCTTTTGATGCCTGAATTCACATTAATTGAAATTGTAAAATAAAATGCACATTACGATTTCTCGTTCTCGTTCGTGCCGTCCCAAGACGTATTTCTAGATATCTTTTTGCAATATCCCTCGTGATGATCTTGAATCTATATTTAGGCAAAATAATGTCTTCCTGCAGCGTAAAATTGGAGCTGTTACGTTCCAAGCGAACCGAGGCGTCCTCGCACGAATAAAATCCTTTTCCGACGCCCCCAACCCCATCACTTCCTCCTCGTGTCAGCTAATCCACTATCTCGAGTCACGGGTCTATTTCAGAAATGCAGCAGATCTTGGAGTCGATACTCCAGGCGCAGACTATCCATTGTATGCTTAGCTCCAAGAATACGCCAAGCTACGTAGATTCGACCTCGAGCCTATTCGGGAGCGTTGTCACCGGGACGATTAACGACGGTATCAGCTCTTACTCATCCAGTATCGTAAGCACCCCGCAACCGCAGATGTCCGGCAAAAATCAGCAAACGTCCGCGAATAATGCGCCCAAGTCCAATGTCTTGCGACGCAAGTGAGTGTCTCCCTCCCCTTTGGGGATTCTTCGTTCTTTCAGCAAATAAGAATGGGCAGGGACGAGGCGAGTGATAAGTGAAATGTCCAACTAGAGACATTACGGGATGAGAAGGAATAAGCGTATGGTGGTAAAGAAGGCCAGCGCTATTAGCCTTGAGCTCCTTACTTCATTTGCAAATGCGAACGAGACTGCTTTTTCATCATTTTAATCAACCAAAAAGTAAGAATTCCCACTCCACCATTCGCTCCTATCTTTCTACATGTGCTAAACACAAAGTGGATTGTAATATAATTTTTATTATCATCTTATCAAATAAATGAGAAAATATCACATATCGTATAATGAGATAAGTTTAAAGTATAAGAGAACGAAAAGGCTGATGTGCTCTCGCTGCTTTGGATATTTAATATTTGATAATGTTGTAGTGTACATTTTTACTAAAAAATAATTAGTAATAGTATTTCATAATAAAGCAGATACTTTCTTATTGTAATATTTGCCAATATATTTTCATGATTAATTATACGAATTTTTCTGTTTTTTTTTTTTTTTTTTTTTTCATTTGCTCTAATGAACTGAAAATGCCAAATAAGAATAACGATATCACATCGAATTGAGCTCACTGAATACGAGATTGACGAGATGAAAAAACAATATGAACATTTTAAAGTCGATATGAATAAAAATTTAGAAAATTTAGAAACAAAGCTGAAAGAAATGAAATGCCGAATAATAGAAAATCATAAAACAATTCAGCGATTTGAAAATAACGTCATAAATCAAATTAATCCAATTACGAATCAAATTCCTGTGGAAAAGTTTGTACGGTAACGTATTATTCTAGATTGTGATAGTTGTATGCTTAAACCTAAATTGAAAAGTTGTTTCGGTGCGTATTGCGCACAAAAGAACTTATTAATCAGTTGAACGAAAGTGCCCATACGTAAATATTTAAAGGTCATTTAAAGTTATAAAAGGTCATACGTAATTATTTATAAAAATTTATTAAATCTCGTACTAAGCAAGGCGCTAACTTCACTTCTGATTAATAAAAGCTTTTGTATTTATGACTGCGTGGCAAAATTTATGCCTATTGTGTATTTATTAAGGTTCATGGACGATCAATTCAAATTAATTCGTAATTTTATCGACAAGTTCAATTTAAAAATCATCACTACCAAACGCATGATTTCTCAAACTAAAAAGCAGATCAAACAGCGAGAAGATCGAGGAGAAAAGCTGAGTTCCGTCGACTTTATAAAGCTTGAAATTGAAAACAGATATCTCGTTGCTGAAAACAATAAGAATCAGCAGATTTTAAATTCACTGCAACAAAGAAATGGTAATGTAGCGAAGCTTCGGAAAGCTTTTATAATAACAATGTGTACTAATATTGTTAAAATTATATATTATGCAGGACAATATAATCTTACATTAAAAAATTATAAAGATAAGCTGATCGAAAAAAAGTCAGTGTTACAGCAGGCTGAAAATAAATTTAAATCCAAGAAAAATGAAGAAATTGCTTTGCAATATTATAAAAATAGAATAATGCAAGATTTAAGAAAGACAACAAATGAGCTAAACAATATTAAGGGTCTTCGCGAAGAGTACGAGTCGCCGGATATTCAAGACTTCCTTCAAGTTCAAAAACAATTGCAGGAAGCGAAATACACTGTTAAAAGACTAAGCAGACAACGAAAAAATCAATTACGTACACTGCGTACGTATAAACGAACCTACGAATTATAAATAAATCTGGCGACAAAATATTTTTAAAGTATATTTAAAATGAAATACTTTTAATACAAAGGAATATATGAGGCTGCTAATATAATTTAATTATGAATATTTATATTCGTACCCTAATTATCGATACCCCTATGTATTGTCATATGTAACGTAAAAATAAAGTCACTTTAAGAAGTTAACTCGTCTATTTTTAAAAGCCGTACATTGTCGAAAAAGCCATCGAAATCGATTATTATTTAATGAAAAAATCATGTAAACGGTCAATATGAATTTTCTGCCGCGAGCAATGAAACCCAATAACTACGGTTATATTACCGACATTGCTCTCGAAATATTGCAATGCATGTAAATAAAAATAATCGCCCTTGAATAATTCTTTCAAAAAAAAAAAAAAAAAAAGAAAAAAAATATAATAATAAAATGAGTAGCCTGTACTATTTATTTAATATACGTTTGTACTTATCAGTTATGTCACTCAGTATTGCAATGATTTAGCTTCGAGTATTACCAATTAACCTTTGAAAATAAAAGGATTTAGTGAAGAAAAACTAAACACTTAAATTACAAGCCAGAAAGCCACGGTATTATTGTTTCATTAATCGAATACAATTAGTCGGAGTCTCGACACGCTTATCAACCGTCCAGCTTACTGGACCATCCAACTTCCTATCTGCTCAATTAAGTAATTTGATGCTTGAATTACGGGGATAACGCGAGGCTGACCAAATAGTCCGGAAGCCACAGGTAGCGGGCCGCACGTAGTATAGGCGACGAGTAAACCGAATGAAGCTTCAAATGCATTATCGAACGAATAATTAATTCTCCATCTAAGCGCTTTCGTCGAACGGGATGTCGTTCACTGGCGAACGGCAGCAAAAGAGTCCACTCCGCTAAGTCTCGCAAAAGCTCCTGGCAACGCTTACGAGGCAAGTAACAAGCGAAACGAGACTGAAGGCGAGGCGCGCGCCCAGGGTAGCGACGTTCGCCATAGCTTCCGCTGCCTCCACGGGAAGCGGATAAAGCCGCGCGTCGCTCCCTCCCCCCCCCTCATCCCAACCCCTCTCCCCCCGGTGATTTTGGCGTGTGCCGCGGTGCGCGCGTCCGGTCACGCTTCACGCATCGACGGCCGGCGTCCCTTCCTCACCGCCTCCTCGGTGTCTGAACGCGACCTGGCTACGGTCAGTCGAGGTGGGTAACGGTGGTCGCGGCGGTGACGGCGGTGACGGCGGTGGTGGCGACGACGGCGGCGGCGGCGACTACGGCGGCGGCGGCGGCGACGATGGCTTCGACGGTGGCGGTGGCAGCGACGCATCGTTCCTAGGTAACGCGGCCACCTCGAAGCTGACGGGCCTCGCTCGACGGGGGGCTGCTCGTGCTCGTGTCCAAGACTCGCGGCCCAGTCCCGCGATATGAACGCGCTGAGATTACAGCCGCCTCCGCTGCTCTTTCTGCTGATACTGGTGGGTCTAATGGCCCACCGGGCTGACGCCCGCTACCTCGAGGTAAGCTCCAGGTCGATTATTTCGCTCGGTTCGATCGCCTCCAGCTCTTATCGCACTCGAGGAGTGCGAGCGGTTCGCGAAGCTGAGGGCCTCTGTTTTAAATTTCTATGTTTTCGCGATAATGTTCCTCTTATTTATTCTGCTGTCGTTGTTCGCGCCATCATAATTAATCGGCATTCGAGGCTCTCGGTTGGGCGCACTTGGAAGCAAAACACCGAGTGTGCGATTTTCTCAAATCATTTGTTTTGGTTAATTAAATGATTCCTTCGGTTATCCCACAGCCACTGCAGCAATACACATTCGGTGAAACATTTTCCTCGATTATATTTAATACACCTTGATTTCAGTTTTGAATATTGAATAAGAGAAAGAAAAAAAAAAAGAAAAACAAATAAATGAGAAGAAGAAAAAAACCGGAAATAATGTAGCTAAAAGTCTCGTGTCAGGAAACTTTTAAATATTCTTTGTCTAGAGTGTATTATAATATAATGCTTCTGGAAGAGAATTTCAATGGAAGAGAAACGATGAAATTTAGCCTCAGGTTGGCAAAAGTTTAATATCTCGACCTAAAATATAAAATCAAAAGGAATTTTTTTAACTCCATTGTACGATAATCGGATGGATGATGATAGCGAAGCTTTTACGTTCGCCAGGGCGAGATTAACGGGACTTTTAAGATGATACTGTTCGATAAATGCCGCCTCTCTATTCTCTCGACATGCATGGCAACGCACTTATTGTTCTACGCTGCGATGCAGCAGATTGACTTTAAGGTTCTGTTAAAAATAACCTAGAAGCCTTCTTTTACACTCCCGCACCCATAAATAATATTACTAAATGTCTAATTACCTATTATACCATTGTTATTAGCCCACGCCCTTATTTTTTACTTAATCATTCAAATAGATATTGTCGATAAAGCGTGTGTAATTTGTCTCTTTGTCATAAATTTATCGTCCATGTTAATGGCAACTATTTTCACGCGATCTCTATTTCTAAAAAGAAATATTGAATAAGGCAGAATTAATTTTAATGCATTTGACACAAGATACTTTTGTGTAAATAAAATTATTTCACTTTTCAGGGCTTGAATATGAATTTAGGAGAGGCACTGCAGTTTTTAAGGGAACACGATCGCGAAGGGTCCACCGTTTGCAATAAGGTCATGACAGCACAATGGAATTTTGCAACAAATATTACGGACGTTAATAGAAGGAAAATGGTAATTGCTGATAGCTATAAATTCATCGGAAAATCCTTTTATTACCCAAGTTGTCGTGCATATTGATACCTGCATGCGTAATTAATACAATAATCAAAAACAAAAACAAAAACAAAAACAAAAATTACAAGATTGACTATCTTGAAATTCGCATTCTTATCTAATTAAATATTCCGCTATATATAATAATTGGAAGTTGTATTTAAGATTATTTTCATTAATGATTTGTATGCGCCATTTGAAAATCTTTCATTCTCTATGACAAATACAATTTTACAAACATACTTTTATTATTATTGGATGTTAATTAAATTTTACTTACTATATATCTAGTTAGAAGAACAGACGGTAAAATTAAAATTTGAAAGAGCATCTTGGCGAAAAACAGTAAGTTTCGCTTGGAGTAGAATAGCAGATCCCTATGCAAGAAGGCAATTGAAAATGATCGCGGTAAAGGGACGAAATTCACTAACCGACGATAAATTTAATGAGGTACGTTTAAATGATGATGAAAATAATAATAATAATAATAATAATAATAATAATAATAATAAAGATGCAATTATAAGCATATCAAAAATGTTATCTCACTCTAGATGCATCATTTAATTATGGAAATGAAAGAGTTATACAACAGAGTAAAACTGTGCCCATATAGAAAAATAGGAGCAGCCTGCGACTTGACCTTTGAAACAGGTAAATATTATCATTGATAATTTTGAATAACGCAATAATAAACCCCTTTCACGCTAGATTTAGGATTAATATCTAATTTGTTCATCTTATACATTCTCATATCAATCGCCATTTACATTGATAAATAATGAACGTATCTACGTAGTTAAAATATATTTAATTTAATGCTCTTACGTGCAATTTCTTATAAATGATAACACCTCGGACTACATGTTTAGTTTTTTTTGTTAATTTCAATATTTATTTCGTTTTCGTGTTCTCCCTCTCCATACAACCTAACAACCAGAAAGCTCGATTATTATTTCCTAGATAATTGTAAATTTAATTGCATTGATACAAATTTCCCTTTATGCCATTTTTCACTAATTGTTTGGTCTAATGATGTCTTTTCATATTTTAGACGTCGCTAAAATAATGTCGCAATCCAGAGATTATGATGAATTGCTGCACTATTGGCAGGCATGGCACGAAGCTGTCGGTCCGCCTTTGAAAAATAAATACGTGAGATACGTTCAATTAGCGAACCAAGCAGCTAAGCTCAGTGGTAAGACAAAATGCCCAATCTTTTCTTATAATATCACTTTTTTCTACTGAATTATAGATTGATATTGCTTGAAACCGATACGATAATCTTATAATAAAAATGAAACAAAAAAAAAAATTGTTGCGTGGTTATTATTGTCGAATGTCAACAGGCTTGTTTTTATGTCGTTTATGAATATCTCGAAATTTATATTGGATCGTCTATTATCAGCGTCCTTAGAGTCGGAAACTATAGGTAACGTTTAACTCTCAAAGTGCAATTAAATATTGCAAATATAAGCAAGTTTTATGGGGTCAATACACGATGAATTATTCCGTAGATTCTCTTCGATTAATCATCAAATCAGGAAATTAAAGTTTTCGTCATTCGTCACCCGATGTCTTTGTCTTTAACTTTCATTCACTAATCTTTCTTTAATACTCCATTTATTCGATTTATGAAATATTTATGACTTATTTCTTATAAATTGTTTCGCTACCTTCTTATACTTTATTACAAGATTAAACTTTATTGAAAAAAAAAAAAAAAAACAATCAATCCCAACTAGCAGTTAAGAACACGTGGTAAATGTAATATGCTCTTTCTTTTTTACATGTACACATGGCTATAATACAGGATGTAAAAAATCTTTTTTTTTTTTTTTTTTTTTTTTTTTTTTTTTTTGAAAATAATGTATATTTATGTATGTACTCGTTGTCATAAAATGTTTTCTTTTCAAACGCTGTAAATTCATAATCCCTTTACGGTCCAGACAAATTTCCGTATTGTTCTCAACGAAAGATAACGTCCTCCTCGCTTCCTTCCAAAAGTTTAGAGAGTGAAATGAGATGGGATGGAAGATGAATCGCCATTGGCTATTTGCATTTACAGGTTTCGCCGATGCCGGCGACCAAATGCGCGAGATATACGAAGACGACTATGTACAACAGAATATGGCGGAGATCGTGTCGGCAATCATGCCATTATACAAGCACCTATTTACGTTCGTGAGAAGTCGACTGATGGAGAGATACGGAGACAGGATTCGCGCCGATGGGCCTTTGCCGGCTCATGTTCTCGGCAACATGTGGGCACAAAATTGGGACGGTATTTTCGACTTGGTCCAGCCATTTCCAGGTGCCAAGAAGTTGGACGTCACACTCGATATGATGATCCAAGGCTTTACGTCGCTTCGGTGAGTCCTTGCAATAATCGTTGCGCTCGCGGATAGGACGATGGTGATATGACCGAGCCCATCGATAAAGTCAACGTTAAACAATTGAAAAATAAAAGCACGCACAATCGATAAGCGAAAGACGTTAAGAAAAAAAATAATTTCTTAAACAATTGTTACTTTAAATAACACATAGGCATCGACAAAGCAATTGCGAGAACTAAAATGGTAAAATTACTATCCACGCGCTTAATAGTTATGTCCTTAATGTTGTTTTGCTTTAGAATTTTTCAAATGGCCGAGGAATTCTTTACATCGATGGGAATGAAGCCTATGCCACCGGAATTTTGGAGATCATCGGTGTTTGAGAAGCCAATTGATAGAGATATCAAATGTAGCGCCAGTGCATGGGATTTCTGCAATAAAATGGACTACAGGCAAATAATATAAAAATCACTAAGTATTCGATCGATCGTTACACCTATCATATTTGGATTACTTATCGTTCATTCCAATATACATTATCTTTAAGTGTAATCATTCGACGATTCTTTATTATAATAATTATGCTTGAAAGACAAAAACAAACGAACAAACAAAAAAATGTATTATCTATTATTTCGTGAGAACATTAGACGACAGCGATGCTTAATATTGTTTATTTATTTTAGAATAAAGCAATGTACAAAAATAAACACCGAAGATTTAATATCGACGCATCATGAAATGGCGCATGTACAGTATTATTTACAATACAAAGATCAGCCGCTTCTTTTTCAAAGTGAAGCCTTACCAGGTGAGTTTGATGTTTACTCATTACTTACCTAAGCATTGAAATACTTTAAAAAAAAAAAAAAAAAAAAAAAAAAATGGTTAATTGTAATGCTTTAAAGGCTTTCACGAAGCAGTGAGCAACGCTATAGGCTTATCAGTTTTTACCCCTCAACATCTTCATAGAATAGGCCTTTATAACAATTCGACCGACGATTACGAGAGCAACATCAACTTCTTGATGCTCGTGGCCCTGCAAAAGGTTGCCTATTTACCATTTGCCTATATCGTTGACCAAGTAAATATATTGCACTTTACATTCGATGATAATAAAAAAAAAAAACAAAAAAAAAAAAAAATTAAAAAAAAAAATAATAATAATAATGAATACTAACAACTTGCTTAAAATTTCATTAATTCTTATTCGCTAAATTGTCAAACTCAGTGGAGATGGCGTGTCTTTAATAATGGTGTAGCGGATATGACTACGAGATGGTGGGAGTTGCGATTACAGTATCAAGGTATCTTACCACCAATTTCACGGACAGAAAGAGACTTTGATCCCGCTTCTAAATACCACGTGCCGGCCGATCTTCCTTATGCCAAGTAATCCACGTTCATTTATACTCTTCGAAACTTAATTTTACTTCCGATTGTCTTTATTATGAGAGAACAAATTTCAGCTACTTTTTGTCAGTTATATTGCAATTTCAATTATTCGAGTCGCTCTGCGATATCTCGGGACACACCGGTGATTTACATACTTGTGATTTGTACCGATCGCGAGAAGCCGGTCGCTTATTATCGTAAGTATAATATTATGATAAAATCGTGTAAATAATGCACTCGCCTTGTAAATCTGAAATTGAAATTGTTTTGCAAAATCTCGCTAAAATTCAGTGACGTATTATCCATGGGCTCTTCGACGCCGTGGCCGGATATTATCAGGCAAATGACGAGAGGTCAAACTAACAGGATTGACGCAAGTGCCATGCTAAGGTACTTTCAGCCCTTGAGTCGGTATTTAAAGCGTCAAAATCAGATTGAGCCAGTGATCGGCTGGTTGACCAATCACGAAGACACGGGTTTGTGTTAACGACAATAAATATTCGTTTGGTGTTGAAAGTCACCAACTTGAGCACTCGGATAAATATCTTGTTATTTTAGATATCTCTACCTCGTTTTCAGCTCTCTTCGCTCACTGGTACCTCGGCAATGCTGGCAACCTTCCAACCATGGCTATCCTGCCAATTGTACTCATCGTGTTAATTTGTTTGTCTCTATAAGTTGAAAGAAAGTAAGGTATTAGCGTTGGCACATTATGGAAATGACGGGGGGAGGGGCAACAACAATTTGCTGTATATAAATAAATTATTCGTGTAAATAAGCGAGTGTATAGATACATTGTTATAATAATGTGAGAAATGTTAGTGTTCATTTTTATCGATTCTCCTTAAGTGTTATAACTTTATCGTTGCTATTTTAATTGTCATAAAGATGCGTTGTAATTTGATAAATTATAAATAATTAATAAGGAATGAAGCTAGCTAACCGTATAGCCAAGCATAGGAAAAATGTTAATGAAAGTTTAGAGTCCAATAAATTTCTAAGATTCAATTGATAAGGAATTAAGGCTTTAACGTTTCTTTGAGATGTAATAAACTCGAGAAGAATCTGAAATTTGTTAAAAAAAGTCTTCCTACTTTCTTTCGTCAATTTTTTTTTTGTTTTTTTTTTTGTTTTTGTTTTCATTCATAAAATATGCTTAAAAAGCAAATATCAAATAATAATTATCTCAAATAAATAACACGTTATTATTAAATAACAACCGATGATAAATACTTTCTAAGTTTAATGTAAGTGAATTGTTGATTTCTAATAATAATAATAATAATAATAATAATAATAATATCTTCTAGTAATATCATAATAAAAATACTACAATTTTCAATACGAGTTCTGAAATTTACTAAATAATTTGCAATAGTTGAACTAGAATTAAATTTAAACTAAATTATTGTTAAATAATCTTAATAATAATATATAAATAATTTTAAAAAATAATTATATTTTTACAAAAATTATATAAGATTTACTAGATTTGTCATAAATTTTATATATTTAAAAATATATGGTTAATTATATCTTTGTATTTATTACAAAAATATGTAACCATAATAATGTTTAATTTTGTGACATTACATTTGATATTTTAAAATTTCTTAATCACTTCTAATTTTTAAATAAAGCGTAGAAATTTCGCTTCAAGTTAATTAAATAAAGATTATTTATTACGTACATGTGTTTGTTTATTTATGCATAAAAAAACTGATAATGCAATTTGATTATTACAAACTTCCATACGCAGGCTAAACATCAACGTCACTAATCAATCAGCTTCAATCAATAATAAATGATAATAACATGAATCGATAAAATTAATTTTAATTAATCTACGATATAATTAATAAGTTCGAAAGGTATTTGAGACTGAAATTTTATCATACGAGAAATCCTTAAAGGATAAAAAAAACTTCCATGCCATAGCATCAATTTTGGCGGACTTGACATATTGATTTTTTAAATACCTTAATAGAAAGAGAAAAGAGCTGAATATGCAATTTGTGCAAATCATACACACTAACATTTTACTCGCAAAAATCATTCTTAGATTTCACTAAAAAACTTTGTAGCGAATAAACTAGTATAATGAAGAACGTTAGAATTAGAGGAATTTTTTAAGTATTATAAAAATGGTTATAATATTTTCTTGCCCCTACACAACGTAAATATTAAATAACAATAGTAATAGTTAATAACAAAAGTAGGTAGGAGAATTTCAATATGAAATAAGTTCACCGATGAGCATATTATATATTAAATATAGTAAATATTTACTACTGAGCTTTTGCAGAAACAACGTAAAATAAATTATTTATAAAAGTGAATTGCTTTTTAAATTTGATAGTATGTAATAATTATAATTGTTGAATACGATTTAATGGAATTATCCGATGAATTTTACAATAATGATTTCTTAAATAATGTAATATTTGATAAAACCAATTTAACCAAATATAGATTTTAATCTTTTTTTATTATCAAAATTATCATCAAAAAATTACCTCATAATCTTATTGACATTACAACAATGGTAATATGTTGCAAATTAAATTTTTCTAAATATATTGTTAACTTAATTTTTTAAACGCGTATTTCAATTATATACTTATCAGTTGTTCTTAAAAATAATGAAATATTTTAACGATTCTTAAAATGCAGCAGAAAATTACGATAAAATGTAATACTGTAAAACCTTCATTTTTTTTTTTAGAAATCTTTTCTCTAGAAATTGCTATAATATCGTGAGGTAATAGTTATTTATCTACATAATGCTTATCATTATTGCGATTAATTAAAATCATTCAAGCAATGTAAAATTATTTTTTAGACAAATAGTTTAAAATGAAGCTTTGGATATGCAACGTTTTATTAATTATTATAAAATATAAATTATTATATTAGGCAAAAAAATCAATCAAACAATTTAATTTTATTCATACATTATTGATTTATTTTTAAAGAAATAAAAAAAATATATTTGTACAACCCTGGATTAGAAAAAGTATATAGTCTATTGAAGCGCCGAATTATAGATAATTTATGTTTTCTATAGTAAAAATAATAATAATAATAATAATAATAATAATAATAATAATAATAATACACTTCTACTAAACAGGATTACACTTCATAATTCAAATACCTATTTAATTATATATTACATTAAGATGTATTGTATACTATTTTTCCCTAAATATTCTTAAGAGATTAATAAATGTAAAAAAATCTTTATGATGAAAATTAAATTCGATTTTCATTAGTTTTATAATGAGCACGCCATTTATTTTTTTACAATAAATACAATAACATGAAAATGGGTAAGAGTTGTGGCGCACATAAATTTAATATTAATAACTTTCATAACAGATTTATACATGGAAAAGCTGTAAAGTATAAATGTACTTTGCGTTGCTTATAATATATTTTATTCTGTATTATATCGTATAATTACGATTAGCGTCGTACTGAAAATAACTATCAACAGTCGACTTTCTGCCAAACTAAAGTTTTGTTATTTTGCGGCATATCGATCATTTCGAACAGCTGAATCCCATTCATATTGCCCAATTTTTTCAATTCCGTGATATCTCTAATTCCCCATTCGGGATTTTGGGATCTTAAATTCTGATCGAAGTTAATATTACTCTCCGGATACAGTAATCCATTTAAAGCATAGGGACCATACATAAAGAATATTCCATTAGTTTTTAAGAGCTGACCAGTATTTTTGAAGAGGCCCTCCGCACATTTGAACGGTGCGATATGAACGAGACACGCATTGAAAATGTAATCAAAGCTCTTTTCATGAAAGACATTACCAGGCCAAGTGTGATAATCCGTGGTAATGTCGATTTTCGTGGGATTGGCGATATTTTGGAACTCTTGGCTGTAAGCGGAAATACTGTCTAAAAGACGATCCTCGAGCTCCGATGGGTAGAATGTTACGTGAGGGAAATAAGGTGCAAAGTGTGTCACGTGCTGGCCGGTACCGGAAGCAATTTCCAAGAGAATTTGATTCGGCCCTCGACGAATGTATTGCTGTAAGACCGAGAGGATTGGATTTTTATTCCGCTCTGCCGCTGGATAGATAAGCTTTTTGTTTGCCATTGCACTTCTGTAAAATGTATTTTAGAATATGTAATACTATTTCTTTCATATCATGTAATGAGATCAGAATTTTAACTACCATATTAAGGAATAGAAAGTAAGAGTGATAAAAATATTTCTTTGTTTATTAAATTCCTATGAGATGGAGCGTTATTTTGCTTATGTAAAGTCAAAGTGTAAAATTTTTATTCAAATACAAAGATTAAATTGAATCTTTAATGTAGAAGTAAGTCATTAACGATACAATACGATGAGTGAATTAATGTTAATTTATAACTATCGCATTATCTAGTTATTTTCAAATGTACATATCTAATTTTTGCTATTTAAGTATTGGTTTGCATATATAATGGAAGAAACATTGGAAGAATGAATAAATAAAATTGTTAAATTTTAATAATATATTTAAATATTATTTAAATTATTTTGAAGTACCTACGTGTTGCAGCACAATGAATAATATTCATTCCTTATGAAAGATTGAATTTTAAAAATTTTTATTTCTGAAAAAATCATAATTAATATTAAGTAATTTAAAGTAATTTTAAATATTAAGTGAAAATTAGATAATTTTTTTTATGTATTTATGTGAAGTTATAAAGAATTATAAATTTGCATTACGCAAGCACGCACATACACACAGTGTGCGTTAATTATTTAAATATACACATGCATATAATGTGCGCATGTATGAGTGTTGTATGCCTACGTGGGTGGGTGGGTGATGAGTATATATATAGATATATATATATATATATATATATATATATATATATATATATATATATATATATATACATGTATATACATACATGTATATACATGCATGCATATACGTCCACGTCCGCGCGCACCCTCACACACACACGCGCGCGCCTATGTATATATATATTTCATTTTCTAATATATCTAAAGCATTTTCATATATTACATGCATGAATAGATTTACAATATAAGTAAATTGAATCACAGTATCTATCATTTTACTTTTGTTTAATAATCCTATCTACAAGTTCTTGAACAGGTTTATATACAGAGTGTTTTGTCATCCTCAAATGTTCAAATAATTTATTTTTACTGGGAAATTGTTGTTTGCAGGTTGCACAAATATGTTCACAGCTTTGATCAATGTCTGTATTTTGAGATACTTTTCTAATACGATCGTTTGTTTCTCTTGCTTCTCCAGCTGCCTGTCTTTGAGCCTTTCTCAATTCTTTAGCTTTCTTCCCTTTTTTCTTTTCAGGAAGTGGAGAAATAGTTTCTTGAGGAGACTCCTCGCTTTCATTTACTTTATCTTGATTTCGTTCTGAACTACTTGACGTCGACTTTTCAGGATTCTTTTTAATATTTACATTACTTTTACTTGTTTCGCTTTTTGTATTACTAGAAAGCTTATCTAGTAAAACTCTTTCCTTATGTTGTTTTTTACGCTGTTTCTTTGATAAACCCTGTAGTAAATCTGTTTCACGATTCTCATCGTCGCTATCTTCAAGTATTGGTGTTTGTATATTTTTATTCTTTTTCTTTTTCTGCTTTTTCGATTTGGCTGATATTTCATCTTCGTGACCAGAAAACAATTCTTCGTTTGGAGTGTCGCTATCATAGCCATCTTCTTTTGTTTGAATATCCGAGTGGTCAAGAATATATCCTCCGTCTGTTGCAGATTTGGCAAAAGTTTTATTATTAGGTATTTTTATGTTATCAGCCTTCCTTTCACTACTATTTAAATCAGAATCGGATATTAACTCTTCATCGGATGTCTTCGTTTCATTTTCATTATCTTTAGAATTAGTAGGTACATTTAATAAAAAGTCTGGTATTTCTGGGCCTGTAGCAAATTTCGTTCCCGTTGGTAATAAATTTATATCCTCTGAATCATCGTTTTCATTCTCTTCGCTATCGAATAATAAGTCATCCTCATTCATCGATGCTTTCATTACTAATATATTGTCCTTATGTTTTTTTGAATTTTCATGATTGCTAAATGCTTTATGAGTTTTAAAAATTTTAGTACAAGCGACGCAATACAAAGAATTTTCAGACTCTTCATCCGACGATTCTTTACCAAATTCTGCCGTTATAGCAGCTTCAATATTATTTAGCTCCGGTTGTATATTTGAAAATTTAGACCATTCTGGCTCTTTTTGCTCCTGCAGTTCTTTTTGTCTCTTTAAAATTTGTTGTTTTTTATGTTCTTGGCTTTTTCTTTTATTTTCCTCAGCTTTTAATTCAAGCAGCTTTGAAAACTTACTGATTCTTTTATCGCGTCTTTTAATAAATTCGACTAAACTTCTGACCTGTTCGTTTCTTTCTCTTTTAGCCTTTTCTCTGATTCTCTTGTTTTCTCTTTCCATTAATCTTGCCCCTTGGCGATTTGGAGCATCGGTTAGATTAAATACATCAAGCCAAGCGTAACTGCGCTTAGTATTATAAGCTCGCCAATATGCATAAAATCTACAAAGGCTTTCATATGTAGTAGTTGAATCGCCAAAACCAGGTATTTCATCATCCGAATCACCTTTAACCCAAGGTGCATCTTCGGTTGCTAATTTTTCAAACACTCTACGGTAAATTGTATAAAATCCATTTTCATCGTCGCCATATCCGTTGAAACAGGAGGTCGAGAAGTATTTAAATAAATTAAGAACATTGTCCTTGTAATCTTCGTCTCCTGCGCTGCTTAACACAATATCATCTCTATGACTGTCGTACCATTTTCTTTCACGCGCATTGCTCAACACTTCATAAGCTTGTTGTATAAGTTGAAATTGAATTTTCGCTTCCTGTTGCGAATCGATATTTTTATCAGGATGCCATTTCAGGGCTAATTTGTGATAAGCTCTTTTAATATCATCATTCGTAGCATCTCGAGGAATTTCTAATACTTCATAATGACATTTCATTTTACTTTACAATATATCTGTGACAGCCCAATAATTTCTGACTTACTTATTCAGAAAAGTAATTGAATAACATACTACTGCATTACATAAGGAAAATGTTTAATAATTTATTAAAGCTCAATAGTAAATTGATCTTAACCCCAAAATTATTATACGTGCATATATGGATTACATATGGATATGCATACGCATGCATTTACATATGAGTATGTATGCACATACGTACGCACATATGGATGAGAATATAAATATGACTGCATTGAACGTGACATGTATGTATGTATGTATGTATGTATGTATGTATGTATGTA